CAAAGGTAGTACAGCAGCTACTAAAGGCTCATCTATGTCAATTTTTCGTAAGAACTAGTCTTCCCAAAGCAGGGCCACAGACGTATCGCTGGTGCTGTGACAATCACCACGATAATGGCAACGCTAGCTCAACAAATCTTACACATAATCGGTCTACATAGTTGTTTGACGTTTGAGCTCACTAATTTTCCAAAAAACTTATCTAATTTAATATTTTTAGGTATATATTTGGTATAAAAACTCCAAAGTTACACATCAGTACCTTCTACCAGGTCGGCATGTTGATCCAATTGTTGTCGGTATCGACGACTCGCTGTTTGTTTCTTATAGGTGCTGCTACTAGCTAGATTTCATCGTATACCTATGGTCAATTTTTCAGAACGATGAGTTACCGGTACAAAACGAAGAAGACCAAAACCGAGGCATTTGCTTGCTTCAGGTGGGTCTATTTGAAAGTTCTGTTGGTATTCCCGGTAGCTACGCCGCGCTCTGAATTGTAGAAGAGGAAGAGTTTACTGTTTTTGTACTAAGGCAATGAAGATAGCATGAGGTTCAGGGTTCAGTAGAGGCTCGACGTGCGTGTTTTCGGTGGCGGGGAGGTGCCAGAGGAGTTGCTGATGAAAGCATTAACGTGCGTTGTTTCTTGCCAGGACTGAAATAACAGCCACTCCAGCAAACATAGTTGCTAACAAAGCGGGGTCTTGCAGCAGCCGCTAACTTAGAGAGCAGATCTTATTTTTTAGCAGGAAGAGATCGCAGAGCAACTTCAGGAAACCGGGAGCTGTATCCGTACTGAGTAGAATTCCAGTGTAATGAAACGTCGTCACCTCCCGTACCTCGGTCCTCCAAAACGCACGTTCAGATGTATACGTTGCCCTAGAGGATTCTAGGGGTTTCTAGGGACTGGCAGACAATCTTCTGTTGGTTCGGCCCTTGCGACCCATCTTATAGTCTAAGGGAAGAATAAACAATTTTACGTGAGAGTGCCTGATTAAAAATACCTCTTATCCTATTGGTGTTCGTACAATTACAATGTGATACGAAGCGAAGTTTCGTGCGTCTGCTATAGATATTGGATCAACTTGATGGCATCATAAGAAATGATTAAATGCCCACTTACTCTTCATAGAAGTATCTTTTAGACGCGAAAATTTCTAGCTAATTAACTGTTCACTAAGTAAGTATTTTGATTAGTTTATCATGCCTATTTTGACGTGTATTTGTAAATTCGTCTAGTATTTATCTAGAGCGAGTGTGGGTGATAAAGGATAAGCAGGATTTCGGCTTCTGTACTGCAATTTTGAGTACATGTGAAAATTCTACTTTTGCCAATATTCATTGAGCCCTTTAGATATTGATTAAAACTTAGAGCCTCAGAGGTACTCCGTTCCCGATCAGAATATCGGATTAATGTTAGGTGGACAATGCCAATGCTGACCGGGCCTGAACATATTTCCTAAATAAGTGGTCAGCCTTGACATCGGGTCAGAGGTTGTACGATCAGGATTTTACGTGAATAGAAGCCGGATTGATATGGACATGGACATATTACGGGAACGTACTATACAGCTGTTGCCTGTTCTGGCGATATTTCCGATGGCTCTTTAGCTTTTGGAACGAATGGTAATCTAGCAGATATAAAAATGTTAGCACATACTCTCGGCTAACGTTCTAACTTGTAGTTGATGTAATTCAGCGTAGCTTCACCTTGTTCAGCTATACATGTCAAGAATTTTAATCGAATCATCTATTTAACGGGCAGAATTTGTAACAGCACTGTACGGTAAGTAAGTTCAATGATTTTCAACTAATTTTTGTAGAGAGAGCGACGTAATTTAAGTGGCGCCCACGCGCGTAGCCTCTCCAGGTAACGGCAAAAGGTTTCTAAGGAAAAAAAAATAGTAACAATAAAGGGTAGTAGTTATGCGAGGTGCTCATCTGGTCACGGGGCCGTCGCATGAGTCTGGCGAAAATACAGCAAGTGAATTTAGCAGGATCGCCTCCGGCAGTTTTTGAAGCAGCTATTATTTTAACGAAAAATGCACCACTTTTTCAAGTGGATTTTTTGAAAATTTTCTCGAATGTCTTCACTTTTTCCTAGGGAACCAATGAAGAGTTGCTGTGCGGTTAGCTCTCATCAACTGGAAGATCGTACATAACTGGGACTAATTTGACAAGGCATAGGATTTCATGTAAACAGAGGATTTCGCTCAATTGCTCGACGGACCAAAGAGCAGACGCGTTGAATCGCCTTTGGGTTTGCTTTATCTCCCTATAGCTGTGTATGACCAACTTGTCCTGTAGGAACTAAATTTATAAAAAGTATATGCAACGTTGAAACTGGTTTTATTAATTTATCGAGACCAAATATCAACGATTGAAACCTCTTCGAATGTTTATTTCGTTGGCAAAATGGGTAATTCACTCAAGCTGATTATCATTTCTACGATATCATTGCTTTTTTTTTTCTGTCGTGCAAACAGAACGAGCTCGACATGCTTACTACATGAATGTGCAATTAAAATACTTGGAATTAGCGCATTTAGGGGTGTGGGTGACGTGCAATTGAGAGTCCCACAAATTATTAAGCCGGGGATAGATGTACGATGGAATCCCAAAATAGAAGCCTAAAGCTGTGTTCCTCGAGTCGGCGTGGTCGATCCCGAAGTCGAAGGCCATTTGCATTTAAGTGCTCGTCGCTCGTAACGCGCGTTGTAATCGTACTTGAATTGAAGTTAGAGTCTACGCTCACGTCTCTCCACACTCGTCCTGTTCCTTTGAAAATAACTGACATCGCTCACGTTCGTTTTCTAGCCAGTGTGTCGTCGATATAGAGCGTTAAATATAAATAATAACACAGGGCAAACCAATGGCCAATAGCTACATCAAGAAAGTACTATTTGGCATGTAGTTGCTAACTCGTAGGGCAGCTTTGGCGGTAATAGAATAAACCGGAATTGATTTCAGTAAGTGGCCCAACTATTTGCCATTCGATGTAATGACTCGTTCATGCTAGCAACCGTTTCTAGTAAGATCTGCATTTGACTGTTCCAGTTCCAATGAAGCAGTGGTAAAGCTGTACCGAAAGGGCGCATATCACGAAAATAATATGGAATAATTAATTTGTTTAAATTATATTTAAAACAACGAAATAATAAAGCCGTTAAAGTTGAAAATGTAATCAGCCGTTTTGTGCCTTACCGATTCTTGCAAACAACTAGAAAAAGACCGATGCAAGCGTCCAAGTAGATAAATCTTTACGAAATCATCATATTAACGAAATAGAACAAGATATATTGATGTGCGTAATATATATATATATATATATATATATATATATATCTTTTTTTTTTTCTTTTCGTTTTGAGTAATTTGGCTCTGTTCGATCGTTTCCGATCTGCTACTAAGTTCCGTAAAATAGGTAGCAAAAAATCTGGATCGAAAATTTGGTTTTCCACCTTTTATTCACGCTCCTCTTATTCCCTGACTGTGGCAGGTTGCGGAAGCCTTTTCGAACGTCATCAGGTTGACTGACTTCCCAAACACCCCGTACATTTATCTTTATGTTGTATATATCTTGTTTGAGAATAACGTATTCATAAAAGAAATCCTAGAAGGACGTAGCTAATAGGGTTGGCCTTTAAGGCCTAGCATTTGATATCGCACGTGCATTTTAACTGCACTGCTATCCGAGAACTTGAACGGTACGTAACGCGCCCTTTTTAGTTTGCGGAAAGTGCATATCAGAAGTGTAAGTTGAACATCCATGTTAATACCCATGTCGTCCAAGACCTGCCAAGCGGTATATCTGAAATATTTTGTTTTTTTAGAAAAAAATGTCGCCATCTTGCGTGCTATTCGTACAATGGCTTCCCATATATTGAGTTCATAGGCAACTGGCGATAGCTGCGTATCGGAGCGTGTAGCTGAGATAGATAAATTACTAGGCCACTGCTGGTGCCACTGCTTCTGTCATCGCATTCTTTAGATATCGACAAAAATCCGAGCATAACCTATAACATCTTATCTCTGTCCAACCTTCTAAAGATCTGCCATAGTTCATCAGTCAGCTAACCCGAAACACTGATGTCGCCTTTGCTATTATATAATAGAGGAGCATAACTCCATATAGAAAGATCCCATTGCCATAGGTGACGTTGGCCTCCACAGTTGTCTCATCAGATCATATTTGGCCCCTATCCAAACATATGCACCTGCACACCTAAATACCTTGTATGTTTTTTTTTACAATCTATTTGTTACTTCTGATTTTTTATTTATATACTGTAATCACGTCTCTCTTGAATCGTTACGTTTGAAGAATGTTCTTCTGGAAAGCTCAACAGTTGGCCTCGTCTTCATCGATTTTAGATATTGTCATAGCGAACAGATGACACTATATAGAAAGAAAATTTCGTCTATTTTTTCCGTTTTCATAAATCAGGGAAAAGACACCTAAACAAAATGAAAAAAGGGACTATCGATTTTTCTGTAGCTACTACATGTGCGTTCACCACTATAGTTATCATACACTTATATATGATCTACTCGTTGATATCTAACTGACCATCAAGGACACTTCAAAAAGGCTTACTATTTCTTCACTAATAGTACGTCACCGGCCCTGACCTCGCGCCGTGTGCAGTCCCTATTTCATTCATTCCATTTATTTTCACTCCCTACCCCGTTCCTGTTTCCCATTTGCTGTTCCACAGGGAAAAAGGCTTAAACACGAGACTAGTTAGATCAGACCGAGTCTATGGAGAGGGAAAGGGTGGCCTGCTCAGCCACTGGAGACTGCTGCCGATTGGAGGCCATAACAGCAGCAGCAGCAGCAGCAGCAGCAATAAGCAGGAGTCCGGTGACGACGGCGGCAGCGGCGGCGGCCGCCGCCGCCGTATGAGTGGTGAGTGTTGGTGGAGAGGGTTCCGACTCGCGCCTGCAGCGATTCACGGTAAACATGCGAAGTGCCGGCATCAAAGCCTACAGAACATGTGACGCGCCGACGGCGAGGAGGTATAGGAACTGAACGCGCTCGCCGCTCTACTGAATTGTTCAACCTAACGTAGATAAACACGCGATAAAATTCTATAACTAATATTATTTGTAGTAGTATGCATTCTGAAAGAAACTAGTCGTCTGTTAGTTAGTTCACTAGGAAGGCTGGTTGGAATCCAAAAAGTCTTCGCGACGCGCCCACACAATTAGGGTGCAGCTTTTATGTACTATAGTGGGCGCTGTAGCACTGCGCGCCGGTAGTCACAAGTTGACGGCGAAGTGACAGATCTCTAGGTCATTAGTGATAATGTCTAAAATAAGTTGAGTTAACTATATATTTCTAGCTGCAGCCGTGTGTGTATTGGTTTGCACAGTTTGTCGATGGGACGTACGTTTGCATGTGTTAGTGATGACGACTGTGAAAAAGTGGGAAAACAATAGAAGTAGCATTAATATAATCGACGTCTGAGTGAAGATTGTCGGCCCGGCGAAGGTCCGTAACAGACGGGAGTTAATCTAAGTGAAAGATGTGCATCGTACTTGTTCTGTAATAAACGAATGAATCGTCATTATGGCAAACAAACTACTCAGTGATGCGCTATTTTTCTACGGATTCAGGAAAAGGCCGACAGCAAATATATAGTGAATATTGTGTAAAGAGAGATTCGTCGTTCAGATGTCGACCGATAAAAAAACACTTTCAAACTGTAAGTACTATACTAGCTAAACTGTCACACAGCGCCCTGTTTTATATTATCGAGGATTATATTCGATGGGGGTTTCCAGTAAAAGGTAACTTCCAACTCATCCACAAACTATTTGATTGTCGGACCACAGTGGCGCTCAGCATTAGGCCGACTTGCGATGTGATACTAATAAATCGCTAGGAAAAAAAACTTAGTTTAGGATCGTTTCCATTTTTTTTTTGTGAAATTTAGTCTTCCAAGGCCGAAGTTCGACAAAAGTCACCGGTACGTCAGTAAGCAGGGTTGACGACATTCTAACACTGGCTGTTGTGTCCGAGCAAAACGTTTAAAGATCACTAACTGACTATAGGCAGAGCTCGAAAGAGTGAGTGATACTTGGGCGCCACATTGTCATCACACATTGACACTTTAACTATTCATTGATTTTGCCTCAACGATCATCACCTCATATTCTGGACTGACGTTGGAAACCGTAGTATAGTTGAAGTGATGCGTTAATATATTGGTCTGGAAGTTTCACACTTAACAATGTCGTCCTATCAATAAAGTTCGCCTCAATTTCAATACAAGACGAAAAAAAAAACAGTAAACAATGTGACACTGATACTGGAGCCTCGCTTTTGTTCCACTTTCTCTGATCGCAATACTTTTCATTATTGTGAGCAGGTCTTCCTGAAAGTTACAAAAAAAGAATCTTCGATTCTAACATTATTTTAGGTTATTGACATAAATCAGTACAATGGACGTCTGTCACGTCGTACCGCAATATGAGTCATGACATGCTGGCTCTTCCGTTACGTGTTGCCTGTACATACATATACAAGTTATCTACCGTCAAACAACTTATCTACCGACTAACCCATAACGATGTTATGGTAAGCTTGCTCAAAAAGCCGTACAAAAGTAGGAAGATGATGATGTCAGGATGGCGTGAGTGATGTCCAGGGTGCCCAAGTTAACAGTGAAGACGTTGTATTTTGAAGCAATATTGTAAGACTTAAAACATTTCAGTATGATGTTGGATTCAACTTGCTTCTACAACGTACAAAATGCTGTTCAGTCGATGCTAATTAAGTGAACGAGTAATACCCGACCCTTGTTTCCTATTTTCGAGCCGATGGTGACAATAATCAGCTACTATATACACTGGCCCAATGGGGCCACACGTATGTCCGGGTGGTTATTACCGAAGCTGTTAGTTTGTGCTTAGTAGGCGCGGAAGAAGATCTCACCTAGGTTATCGGTAAACGGATCGACCATTTTCTACCTGCTTTAAAGAATAGGAGCCTCCATCACTTTTCTACTCTTCTAGCTGAATCATTCAAACAGAAGAACATCAACGGATTGTCTGGGTCCGGTACTTCTGGGACGAAAGCTTGGCACGGCTAAAATAGTGTTTGCTTGATGGAAAACAAGTGGACACGATCGCATAGGCCGAAAGATCGATGGATGATGAAACTACGCTTCTTAAACGCCGCTGCGGATAACATAAAGTCCATTTTACTCCACGCTGAGAATTCAGTTCATTCAGGCGCATAACTAATGTCTGAAAGCTAAACTGACTAAGAGACAGATTACGAGCTGCATTATCTAATGCAGCCTTAAGTACGAACAGGTTTGTGTTTTGGATTATGTAATGCAAGTGTACCATTTTTACTGTAACCATCTTTTGATTGGATACATCGCTTAAGAAAGGTCCGAGCGCAATGAGCCACTGTGAAATCGATTGAGGTCGGGTATGAAGTAACGGTTGACGACGGTGGGGTATACCGTGCTGCCTCAGTAAGGAAGAATGGCTGAAGTTTGTTCGTTCCCATAATGCCAGTTAAAGTAGTTAGAATAAACTTGGAAGACGCCAGGGATACTTCGTTTGTGTGACACGAAATGTATAAACAAAGATTCACTTCTACAGAAAGATGTTGGACAGAAAGCTTTACCCCACAAGACATGTATTGATCACTGCATAATGCACCAACTTAGGTACAACTTTATCTAGGTTCTGGAATTTCTGTCTGTTTAAGCAGTTTCATGAGATGTCAAATAGGCTTCTCTTTGCCATGAGTCGAATTTGGCAGTAATAAAGGTTCATACTTACGAATTTTATGTCAATACATGCTACAAGAAAAAAAAATGCCATGGGAAGCTCTTCCGGTTCGGCATTGTTAATATTCTTTTGATTTAGTCTGAGTTATTATTAACATTGCACAACATGCACATGTCCTATATTTTAAACGTTTGTGCTAAAAATCTTAGGTTGATGGGTTTTGTGTTCACACTGTTGTGTACATATAAATGAAGTTACAAATCTGGGTTTGGAAAAATCAACTCTGATTTGACAAGACCTGATGCATGTTTTATTTTTGGCTCGATAGGCCGCTGATTAATCTTAATCATTGATGTTTAGTCTCACCAGTGTTGCCGAAAGTGTCTTAGCTTGAATTGCTATTAAATGACGAAAGCTCTGTTACGAGGGCTCTATAAACCGAATATGTGACTAGTTTTGATCAGAGGTGGCCAGATTTCTAAAAATGAGTAGAAACTTATGAACGCAATTACTTTGAACGCAAGACTATCTTCATAGTAAAGTCTATTTGTTAACAATGTAATTTTTAAGAAGGTCGTACCCTAGACATATAGGCTCGTTAGTGACGATTATCGATCTAGTAAACTTATTAGGACAAAACTTTCGAGGCTACGTTAAGTATTGAGAGTAAAAGGTTAAAGCCATCTTTCGGTCCAGTATTTGTAGTTCACTAGGTCGGAAGAAGTCGGTCATTCCACAAAGCTACCAGACAGATGTTTTTTCTTTTAGAGCGGGCTGGAAAAGTCAATGCTTCCTATCTATCTATTTGTTACGAAGTTTTCCAGGTAGATTATGATCTATTCCGCCATAAGCCTACCGTGAAAATTTGTTGAATGAACGTTTCCATTATTTTATTCTAGTCTTATTCTAAAAGTGTAACAATTCAACATAATTTTGTAAAATTAATATGGCCGCATTTAAAATAGTATCATTATCGTAGTTATGCGCTAATCTAACATAGGTAATTATCCATGGCAAAATATGATCCATGGTACAGATTTTCCATAATGTCGATTGTATCATTTTTTTCTGTGATGTTCATAATAAAGAAATTAGGTTTTTCAAAAGCAATCATATGATACATAAATTTATTTTGTTACCTAAAATTGTCACATATACAGATAAATGCATTTCTACGAAGAAGCTGAATTGTACTTTAATTACTGAATTATTGTCGACATCAGATGCTCAAGTAGACGTAAAGGTTTCTATGAAAAAAAAAAAAAATTGATTTAGCCTTATAATCGTTCTATAAAAATTCAATTACATTTCAAGAAATTATCCTATATAGTCCCTTGGGAAAAAATCTTCCAGTGCCAATCGCAGCGAAATTCCTGAACAGATTTGGAAGTTCGATAATTAACAACGTTCCGTTGCCAAGAGTAATCGGAGTAGTTTATATAGCTGCTGTGCTATACAGGCTTTTATCTATATGTACACGCTAAAAGTAATTTGCTATTTTATATTTATTGCGGTAATTAGAGATATGCAAATTATCGCATTAAAGAACAAGAAATTTATGTGTACTGCCCGTTTATAACAGGCACACTTTCTTACCAATTTTAAGCATAGTTTGTTGTTAATGGAAGCTAGCTATTGCATTGTATAAAGATACTAACGCCATAATAATACATAATATCGTTGCAATTATAGGGGGCGCTATTAGAGAATCCCTGTTACAAAGCTGCTAGCAGAAAAATCAGTCTTTAAATGCATTCAAAATAAAGGTTCTCACTGTCGATAAACGTTTCACCCAGCCTATATATACGTGTGCCTGTTATATATATATCGTGAGTGCAAGGTGCGCCATATGAATACAATACTAGAGTCCCGAGTCGTTAGTTCTGGCTAAAAAGTTACTCGGACGTATCTATTTTATAAATATGCTATAGACGAATGTCATCGTCATTTATGTCCGATAGTGGATTATCAAAAACCAGGAGGCACATGTCGGCACACGCGAGCGTCGCCGCCTATCTAGCTGCGATTTCTACAGCTTTCACGCTTTTCAAACCCTTAGTCCGTAACTCACAATGCTACTCAATATAATGTTTTTGTTCCTTATTGAACTTGTATATCAGGCTGACAAGGACAATAAGAACAATGATGATCATCATGTAAGTCCTGGCTTGCATCGTGCTGCGTCAATTCTCGGCTTCTTTTACTCCCCTTTTTCCCGCTTAGTTAACGAGCTAATATACGTCTCTTATGTCCCATACCGGGGGGTCCGTTTCGTTCATGATCTATCTTAACATGAATGCCATATACATGTTTACCCGTAGATCTGTCGCTGTCTATTTACTTGTTCATTGTTCATAATTTTGTGCCGTTTCCTCTGCCCGCCGATTAACGACTCTCCTACGAAAGTCTACTTATACTGGGATTTTAGATGCCGTAAAACAAAGTTATGAGCGAAGCGTAAGATGTATGTAACGAGCGTCGAAAGTGGAGCAGTAGCAAGTGATAAATGGTTCGAGTGCGTGAAATCCATTCGGCCTGTTAACTTGTATGGCCTACGGCTCCTCGTTTGCCCTGCTGTTACTGTTGTTTATGCAGCAGCCGAATCCCTCTTGCTTCGCCCAGTTGTACTAGTTGGTGCCTACTTTATCTGTTTTTTCCGCTCCCTTCGTACTTCTGTCGAGAAAGACAAAAACGCTCCTTGCGTATCATCAAACGCACATCGAGTGGAGGCGCATGCACCTCTCCGTTTCCTCAGTCGATCTCGCTAGTTGCCTGGTGGGCGGATAATTTTGCAGTACGCTGTTATTGATGTTGCTGACATCAGCACCCCTCTATACTGAGCATTCGGTCTTCGCAGCGTTACCACCGTCGACCTTGTATACGGCCAACTGCTGCTGCAGCGTCCTGTTAGATTGTTGTCTCTCTTGCCGGCTTCCGGTCGGCAGCCGCGGTGCCT